TTTTTCAGTCTGTGTTTGATGATCTTTGTGAACTAGGTTTCTTTGTTGGAAAGATGGGACTATTAATTGTTCATTAGCCCTCGAACAAATTTTAAGAGTTTTTCTATAGCGTGCTTGCTGATATACATAGTAAAAGCTGGACATACTTAACCAACAGGCTGTCATTGTGCTTTGACATTGCTAAGAAAATGGATTAATTGCATTGTTGCGTTTCCGAAGTTACCCATTTACACATAATTATTAGTTTTTTTCCTAGCAATTATGCTTTGTATGTTGCTGGTTCTTTAAGCAGGCAATGTAAAGCCAATCCTAAGTGGGTAAGAGTGGCTTGATTTGCCTGCATGCAATTTTTTTCCCCACAAGGAAAAAGTCCCCTTCATTCGTGAAGTCAAGGTGGCTGGATATTGTTTTCTGTCATGGCCCCTACAGATGCCCAAAAAATAATTTGGTTACATAACCTTCCATCTTTCCCTCCTCCTTTGTCAACAGAATGCATATATGTTTCTAAAATGGAAGTTAGGAGTAATACAGTCAACTCTCTCTATAAGATGGACACCCTTTTTAGAATGGACACCTAAAGTGTGTGCCTGCCTTTCTTTACTCCCTTTATTTACTCTCCATAAGACGGACATCTCTGTAAGACAGACACTTGGTGGTCCCAAAGGTGTCGGTCATAGAGGTAGTTGTCCAGGCATATTGTTCTGCTCAGCCTTAATTTTGTACCCAAATCTCCTGTTCACCAAGCTGAAGGCAAGATCTGCTCAAATCCAATTTGTACACGTGATCGCCTGAAATCCTCAATTTTAGATGTTTTTAACAACAAATTTCATAAAGCTGTGAAGTTTTCTCTAACAAAACGTGTTTATAGCCTTTTTTTATGATTCAACCAACTAATGTTATTATGTTATGTATGGAAAACTGTTGGTCCATTTCATTAGGTTATTCTTTTTAAAAAAAGAAATGTTTATTTAATTTAATAATATTCATGTTTTGTTGCTTTTTCTAGACGTAAGTCAAATTTTGAGTGAATGCACTGCCTTATTCACTCAATCTCTTCCATCAACACAGTGGAATGAGAGGATATCAAATGTAGGTCAATCTTGGGTAAGAGTGCGCCCCAAAAAGACAAAAGACTTCCAGGATCATCTGAAAGTGGTTTTTTAAGATCTCTGGAGTATTTCTCTGTTATTAGAGGAAGGGTAAGCTCATTTTACAATGCTTACTGAATAAGCAATGGATAAATTTACAACCTTGAACTTTCTCTGCCTTAAGTTTCTGTTCTTTTGTTTAATGGCCTCTACAGCAGAAGTGATTCCCGTACAAAACAGTTTCGAAGTAACTTACAACTCCGCACATAATACTTCCTTTGTATTACCTTTGGCAGTAGCTAATTACCCTTGATAAAGATGTACCAATGGTTCATTCATATATTTTTGCTTAATATGTACTCAGCCTCCATGTGTATGTATGTACATGTTCATGTAGATGTTTTATTCATAATTTCAGGTTGGTGTGATAAATGACACTGCATTTAGCGTTGCCTTCAAAGAGTGGAAGTTCTGTCGCCATGAGTTAGACGTCCTGCAATCCAAGGATTTCATGGAGTGCCCAACTTGTGCCGTCTTCCAGCATTCAGCTCATGTTGATGGGAATGCTAAGCTTTATCGATACAAATCAGCTGGGAGGTAACTGTTATTGAAGAGGAGTCCATCTGTTAATAATATTTTTATTGCTGCTGATTTCAGACACATGTATTCATAGGTTGCAAAAAATTAATGTGGGACGAACTTCAGATGGTGGGTGCTCTTTGGAGCCATTTCCAAGAAATTCAAGAGCTTTCCCGGGTGTGGCATAAGAGAAAATTGAATTTCCCCTGGCATGTTTGCAGACGTGGTATAAAACCACTACATCATAATCGCAGCCCTCATGCAAACAATCAGCCTATAATGCAAAGTTTATATTAATAATAAAGTTTTTTAAAACTTTATTATTAAAATATCAAATATATCCAATAATAAACAAAAAATAGAAACCTAAGTGATAGCCGAAAATACCAATGATTGATTTTTATTGCTGCTGATTTCAGACACATGTATTCATAGGTTGCGAAAAATTAATGTGGGATGAACTTCAGATGGTGGGTGCTCTTTGGAGCCATCTCCAAGAAATTCAAGAGCTTTCCCGGGTGTGGCATAAGGGAAAATTGAATTTCAGCAAACATACATACATACAAACATACTTGTATTCTGGGTAGACTGTATTTCGTAAAGCGCTCAATTCATTTAATTGAAGAGCACACATGCATACATACATGGCCTTTATTAAAGTGTCTAATTGTTCTAGTGCCTCTTGGCACTAACTGGGGACACAACAATAATTTTATTTTGTTCTTGCCACAAGTATATTTTGGCTTACTTCACAGAGGGTTTTTGTTTAGAAAACAACACCTATGTACATAATATGGGTGCTTCTCGTGTGTCACAGATGTTTCTCCTAGGGAAACATCCCGGGTGACAATTTGAGCTAGGAGAAATGACTGTATTCGCAGGCCTCTTATTTTCTAAAATCTATAACACATTTTGTAACCTTGGCTAAAGAAGATAACTAAGCATTCAGGATCCTCTTTGAAAAAATAGGTGTCTTATAACTGAAATATTATTGCAATGTAAGGGTACATAGATTTTGTATAAGGAATAAGTTTAAATACCACCACATACTCTCAGCTAAAATGTATTTTCTTTCCCTTCAGAAAATGAGAACCTCTTTAACAACCTACAATGTAAGTGCTCATTACCGTTTATGTAAGAACCTTTTTTGGCTAACTTAATTGGGAAAGTACAGGTTAGGGAACTGGTCAAAACTATATTACATGCTAGGGACCCACCACAATAAGTCGAGACTACTGTCTCTTCCTATAGCCCCCTCCCCCTTTCCAGATATCCATGGCATCTTCCATAGCCCCCCTCCCCTTCTCTTAACAGTGGCCCCACTTTCATCATGGGGAGACCCATGGTATCTGCTATGACCCCACCTCCCTTGATAGGAGACCCATGGTATCTGCTATGACCCCACCTCCTTTCAAAGGAGACCCATGGTATCTGCTATGACCCCACCTCCTTTCAAAGGAGACCCATGGTATCTGCTATGACCCCACCTCCCTTGATAGGAGACCCATGGTATCTTCTATGACCCCACCTCCCTTGATAGGAGACCCATGGTATCTGCTATAACCCCACCTCCCTTGATAGGAGACCCATGGTATCTGCTATGACCCCACCTCCCTTGATAGGAGACCCATGGTATCTGCTATGACCCCACCTCCCTTGATAGGAGACCCATGGTATCTGCTATGACCCCACCTCCTTTCAAAGGAGACCCATGGTATCTGCTATGACCCCACCTCCTTTCAAAGGAGACCCATGGTATCTGCTATGACCCCACCTCCCTTGATAGGAGACCCATGGTATCTTCTATGACCCCACCTCCCTTGATAGGAGACCCATGGTATCTGCTATAACCCCACCTCCCTTGATAGGAGACCCATGGTATCTGCTATGACCCCACCTCCCTTGATAGGAGACCCATGGTATCTGCTATGACCCCACCTCCCTTGATAGGAGACCCATGGTATCTGCTATGACCCCACCTCCCTTAAAAAGAGACCCATGGTATCTGGTACAGCCCCCCCCCCCCTGCCGCCTTACCAATTAAAAGTTATGAGTTTTCACTGTTTTTTTTTTTGTTGGAAAAAAATGAAAACTAATTTTTATGAGTTGGGGACCACTTTGAAATATTTAGGAGGCAAAAGACTCTTGGGGAAAAAACCTACTTTCATACCCTGTGTACATGAGAGTATAAACAACCTTTTGCATCTATATGAAGTTATGTTTTATTATACTGCTTCGCAATGATGCATCATTGTAATGATGTTGGATATAATTAACTTAATCTTCGAATATTTATACAACGATTTGCCAATCACTTGTTTGCACATGAATTACTATACCGGTCCTCACCCTAAGGCGATACATTAACATCATCATATCTAACATCGATAAACAAAACTGATTATTTGATAATGTTACTATACAATTAGCAGTAGCTATCAATTGCTAATCCTTCACTAGCTGTTCCATATTGGAATTGAAGGGCTGCCCGTACGCTTCCTTTTCATCTTAAGATATGTAAACCAGTGTAACGTTTTAAGGCGTTATTAGAATTGAAAGTTAAACAAAGCAATTGCAATATGTACAGTGATAACAGAACCTTCTCAATGTAATTAAAAATGTCACAGAGTTAAAGTTTCCCTGTGCTCTCGTGTGACAATAGTTACGTTTTCAGTTTGGCATAGATTTGTTACACACGTATGACTTTTATAATCCTCTACCTTGTTTACCAAGTTATAATTCTTATTCCTCACATGCTACTGATACATCACAAAACTTGGCAACACGGTTACATGTATAGCATTAGATTCGGGATTATTGAAAGCAAATTTCAATAAAACATGTTATTTATTCTAAACAATTTCCGATTTTTTGATCCCTACAAAGTTGCGCTTTGATTTCTTTTCATCAGCAATTTCACTGGAGTTAAGTGAGACGCAGAAGGTCAAGAAAAATTGAAAAAAATGAAACAGCAAACTTTGCAAACGTCTGTAAACTCCTTAAATGTTTCGTAACTAAAGTTTTGGTATTTTGTAAAAAAGCGACTCTCAAACTTGGTCATTTTGCAAATTAAACGGTTCTCTTTCGAGAATATATTCGTTTGGGTGTTTACCCATAAGAGACCACATGTTAATATTCCCCTGTGTATTTATATTTCTTTTTAACTGCTAACCCTAGCCTTGAGATGATACATTAACATGGTTGTGACTCAAACAAAGAATTTAACTCCCAACTGAGAAAGTTGTATTGGGTAAACATTTCGTCCAAGTGAATAATATAATAAGGTCTATTTTCGATGGAAAGTGCGCATGACTAACAAAGTAGTCAGCGCTTTTACGAGGATTCTATAACGGTGTTTATGACGGAGGAAAGCAACAAGAAATCTTCAGTCAGCCCGGTATTACTCTGAGCTGTGCTTTGGGCCTCCTGAATCGGTTTTGGTGGAAGCCACTTCTTTTCTCGAGCCCTCGCAAGCCGCTCTTTCACGTCTTTGGTACTTCCACTTGTTGGTAAAGAGTGGACGTCTCTGAGCTCTTTTTCCACGGAAACTCGGTTCATTTTCTCAATTTCTCTTCCTACGATGACTTGACATTTAGTTGAGTGTTCCATAATTCGTGAAACTAAGTCGTATTTGACTCCTGTCACTCTCCACGGACAAACCACATTGCAGCAACTGCAGATTTCTCTAAGAGTCTCTGTTAACCTCGGAATTCTTTCACTGTGAAGTTTATCGGGAGACAACTTCTCATTCAGAGAAATTGGCAGCTTCTGCCTTTCCTTTGCTTTCTCCTTTTCTAAGTGCTTTCTTACTTCTTCTTTTAGACTTTCCTCAGGACAGGGAAACACCTTCTGAAAATCTTCCATATCCTTTTCAGTCAAGCCGTGTCTGTGCGTAAACACAACTTCAAGAGCATTCGATGGTAAAAAATAGTCCATTTGACGATAGCGCTCTTCATCTACAGGAATTTCTGCGAATAGGTTAAGGCCAGCTAGTCTGATTTCCAATGCTTCCTCATCATTCAAAAGTTCTTGTACCAATCTTGAATTTTCGTAGTGTTTTATGTTCGTTGTTGATGGTTTTGGTGTCTGGGGTACACCAAGGGGCAACATTCTTGTGCCACAACAATTTGTATCACCGCATGCTCTTCTTTCCTCGTAGTAGCCACTTGTTGAAATTTGAGCATGTTGGTCATACCATTTGAGGTTTTGACGGATCCAATCGAATCTTTCGGATGTTTCCTTGTCCTCTCTACTAGCTTTACAGTACGCTTGGATATCAGCCTCCAGAAGGTGAGACAGTGGAAGTTGATAAAGCTCAAAGGAGTTTTGGCAAAATGGTTTTGCCAAAACAGGGAAAGCCATTCCATCTACTGGCTAGTTCTTTAGCCCCGTACCACATATTCATTTCTGCCAGGAACTCATCGCCTAGTGAGGTGGCTATGCTTTTAATTTTCTTAATTTCATCTTGGTCAACAGATCTTTCCTGCAAGTCGCCTTCTAGCTTCGTTATACAATCTTCAGCAGTCTTGAAGGTGGTATTTGAGATGGAGGATCCTATTGAAGCAGCACGACCCAACATTGAATTTCCCTCTCTGCTTCATTAGCCACACTGTCCCTTTCCGCTCTTCTTTGGATACAAGCATGGGCGTTCAATTCCATGCGGAATTCTATTGCTGCTGCGATTTTTGTTGCAAGATTCGACTGCTTCTGATCTGGTCCTCCATCTACTAGGCGATAGTTAAAAGGCCTTGGTTCGCAGGCTAAATAGATTTCTCGTCCGTCGGCAAGGCATTCATAGCTTGACAACAGCTCTATGACATCCAGAGATGAGGCAGAGGCTTGATCAATGTTGTCCTCAAGGAAAAGATCCTCACTTAACTCCAGGCGTTCTGCAATTTCCAACATTAAAGATGCTCCATTCATCTCCCTCAAGTAAACCATCTCTTTATTGGCGTTTGGGCCAATTGAAAAGTCATCCATCAGTTTAGTAGTTCTTTGCAAACAGGACAATCCATCTAGTGTTACATAACTTGTGCCTAGTTCATTTAGCGGGAAACCGCTTGTCCTAATGATGACATGATCAATGACTCTTTGGAAAGCATTAATGAATTTAATTCGACCCACGTTCTCTACTTCAAATGCACATTCTTCTAATCCATCTTGTGTGAGAGCGTTTTTCATAGCGAGCATGAGTTCATACGCCTCTTGTTCCGTTCCAGTCGCCAAATCATTGACTTGAATGGATAACTGCTGCAGCCTTTCTTTTTTGTAAGGTATGTAGAAGCTTCTCCAACATTTGTGACGGATTCTTCTCGTAAATCGGAATAAGGGACAGTGGTGGGGTTGGCACTTGGATAAGACGTCTTGACAAACTTCTAAGAAACGTGGATAGTTTCGATGCCTCTGTTGCATCAACGTCGGTCACATAGTTTTTCAGGTTGTCTTTTCCTTTAACAGACTGCAGCCAAGAAAGTATTTCTCCAAGTAGGTATCGGAGTGAAACTGAGGGAACATCGGTGTGAGCAAGTGTCATTTTCATCTTTACTTCCTCGTCGCCGAACCGCCGAAGTTGATAGCGCTCATTCACATGCGTGAGTGCTCCACTAGAGTATTCAAATTTTGGAGAAACGATGACGGCCAGTTTTGTCCCTGACCAACACACAGACTCGCGTCCACTATGACTATCCACACTGAATGTCTTCTCTATGAATAGATTCGTGTTTGGAACTATTACATCTCTTCCTGAGTGGTAGTCGTGGCAAGGCAGCGCTTGAAGTGGCACAACCTTGTCATCAACAGCCTTGTCCCTTTTGGTACAATCCGAAGAAACTTCATCCTTTTCTTGCAAGGGACTCCATCGATCATCTTCACTAACGTAACTCATCCATGACCGACCGACTTTGAATGAGTTTTTCGATCCCAGAATGACTGGAGCCTTTGCATCGGTGCTGTTAATTGTAGAATATTCACGGAGATGAGGGAATCTTTCGTCAAAGCGAAATGGCCTTCTTTGCTCCATTTTTGCAAATGCTCTACAATACTGAATGTTGACAGAAGGAATGCTGGTACCTGTGTCTGGTACTTTCCCAAATTTTATTTTCGCCTCGTTGAAATAGTGTCGGCTGTTGTTGTGGCCTGAATGAGTTGCTAAACATCTTCTTTTCACTGTGGAAATGCTAGCTGTAGGCATTCCAGTTTCTCTAGCAATTAAATTGTAGTGTTCGCGTAAACGTCCTGCTGAGAGTTTCTTATTTGTTTCTACGGATTCCTTGACGGAAGCGATGTATTTCACGTCATAATGTCTTTTAGAGTGCGTGAGATGACCTGAATCGGAACTTGTAGCTGAAATTTCAACGATAGTTTCCAAAATCTTGGGATCGAAGTCCATTCTTGGCCTGTGGGCGAGCTCTGACTTTTCCCTTGCGAGTAATTTACTTGCACAAAGTTTCTTCATAACTAGTTTGGCCTTTGGCAGTAGCTTGCTGTCCGATCGCCCAGGGTAGCGGGACCTCACCATATCAAACGCCTTCCTCCACATTTCAGGAAGCACGGTTTTTGCAGCGGACACTTTATCGGTTGCTCTTTCCATGGACTTTTTGCTGAAATTAAGGTGTTTCCGAAGATTGGAGTCTGAGAATCCAGCGCTCTTTAGAATAGCTTTTCCAATCATTTTGGATTTTTCGTCTTCAAAAAGTTTAAATGATTGTTTCATTTCAGAAAAGTTTGGGTCTAAGGTGTGACGAGAAAACTTTTGGGCGATCTTGTTTTGTATTAGTGCCGCTCTTTCAAACGCAGATTTTTCCGAATCTTGTTTTAAGATGACAAGAGTTAATTCCTTCCTCAAGGATGGCTCTGTTCCTTTGGGTGAATCTTTAATGTAAACCGGTAATGCGTTGCTTCCTGTTAGGAATGACCGTTTAAGATGCTTCCGGAAGGCAAGGGCCTTCTGGTACGTAACAATCCCTATGGCATCTGTCACTTCCTCAACCGTCATCATCTTAGATGGCGAAGAACTTAGATGTTTAACTATTCGCAGGCGTTGTTCAATATCACCCGAGCAATGTGTCCTTCTAAGTTTTTCTTCTGCTTCCTTTTCAAACTCCCTCACAGTCTTCGTACACGACGAGATCCAAAACCCTTCGTATTGAGTACTTTTACAATCCGCAAGGGCGGCGATACGTCTTTGTTCCTTGCTGGGTCGTAAAGCAGACTTTTCTTTGGCTGATTCTGACGGAAACAACGAAAACAACGATTTGTTGGATCCGCCAACACAATCAAGAATGCTGCTGGCTATCACTTGCGAGCCAAGTGGTCCCTCGTCGAACAGATCAGCCGCTCCAGCTGTGACTTTTTCCCATCGTTTTTTGTCGATCAAAGCCAATGCACACAAAAGAAGACCGATGCAGCAATTTCCCACCTCTGAAAATACAATTAGGATCAAAATAAATTTAAAACTAAGCAACAAATATTGATAAACATGTTAAAGTGAAGCTGCAATGAATTACCCGAATAGGCGCCAACCCAACTGTCGAATCAACACGGGGATGAACCCTATTCCCCAACGAAATAATCGTAAAGAAATATACCGTGTAGATCCAAAAGTAACGATCCCCCGATACTGACGTCAAAAAGGTTGTGGCCGCTAATTTTTCCCGAAAGTAGCGACAGCTTCTCCTCCCTGGAGCGAGCCCACTGCCACTCCTTGGTTTAAGAAGGAGAAAAAGAGACATTCTTTGTTTCTATGGAATCAGTGTCAGGTAAGGAAAGAACTGCGAGAAAAATTTGAACAAATGGAGCCGACCACTGAGAACAAGGTTTACACGTGAAGAAACAATGCATGTCGATTGGAAGCAACAGGAAACTGGAACTACCGATTTCATCTCATTTTTTCCAACTGTTCACGGAATTCAGCCAAATCTTTGGAGGAAAAAGCTTTTTCCAGTAACGCATTTGGGTTCCCTAAGGTAGCGACCTTCTATAAGTTACGACCCCGAAATAAGTAAGCCTCGAAGGCTCCTTAATCGATCTGAAAGCTACGAGGGTAGTTTCTTTCGGGACGTTATGGGATACCCTGTTCAGGACAAAGAGATCAAAACCCTATACCCTGTCCAGAGGCACATCCTCGCACAGCTCATATAAGTGAGTACACCACGCTCCCCCCAACCCAAGAACATTCGGGCACTACGTAAAAAATTTTTTAAAAAAAGGCAATTAAAAAAATTAAAAATAAACAAATAAAATTTTTTGCCCGTTAAGTCAAGTCAGCGAGATGTTTTCAGTTCTACAGAAAAATATCTTTATCCAAAATAAAATTGACGCCCCCGCTAGAACTATTTTTTTTTTAATAAATGGGTGTTTAATCTATTTTCGATTGGAAATATATAAAGAGCGTTTAAACGTCGACTATAAATAGCTTATAAACTCTCATTGGGCATGGCTGGCTCTCTCTCTATATGAAGTGATATAAAATCCTTTTCGTTGAAAAGAAAAAAACAAGGAATAAAAAGTAAATTATCTTTACGATGATTATACAGTATCATTACTTTTACTCGACATACCTTCTTTATCGTCGTCATCTTTAATGTGACTTTTGAAAGGGATCAGAGAGGGTCTCGGTGGATATTTCGTCATTCGTGTGCCTGTTGTCAGCTGCACCACCTCTTCGAAGACAGGGCGGAAAAATTGCAATAGATTGCTCGGTAGATTAGCGCGAAAGCTTCCGTACTTTGTCGACTCCAAATCTGTTGTTAACGACAGATATCCCCCCACCGCTGGCCTTTAGCAGAGACGGCGCACCTTGTTTTGCCGTTGGTAGTCGGCACCAAATCCTCCACGCGGAAAAGGAAATGCATGTCTTTGTGCTTTTTAGTCCACATGTTTTTACTAAGTCCTTAAGTTGTCGCGGATCTTCATACATGGAGCCGGAAACAAGAAAGAACAACTGGTCGTTGTTATCTGAGTTCAAAATGTTAATAAACGATTTAGCCTGTTCTACGGTGATAAGCTCTGCTTTTGACGCATTACTCTCTGGTCCTGAAGTTTTACTGCAACTTTCATTAGACAATACCCTCTCATGATCGGTTGACATGCCATTCGTGGGGGTTTCTGTACAAGATAAATGACAAGATGGCAAAAAGATAAGAGAAGAATATTAAGGACGTCGGGCTATAAAAGTAAATAAGAACTCGTAGACGTTTTGCTCGTTGCATCTCAGCAAACTGGTTATATAAAATGAAGTGTACTTCCAGTGTGAGGATTCCGACGGGCATAAATGTTATTCAGTTGAATCTCTTGTGAGCAAACTGCCAAATTATGTGTGTATTGGAAAATATGGACATCGAGTTTAGTCAAATTGAAATGTGTATGCATTCGAGTTTAGTCCAGGTAGTCAGTGACAAATTTATTTTTTTTTATCCAGGCGTTCAATGCAAAATCGCGGCTTTATAAAAAGGCAGTGGCTATTCCTACGGCACCCGTACGCGGACTTCTATTTGCTATTCATACGGGAGTCCGTCAATTTTGCCGATCCAAAATATTATATGTTTGTTTAGATGCACGGGGCGATTTTTGTGAGCGATGTTGATTTCATTTACACCAATTTGTTCAGCCTGTGGTATAGTACGCGAACGACTGTTTGCGACACTTGGTTCTTTTTTTACATAATCATATAACTCCCGTACCTGGACTTCTATTTGCTATTCATACGGGACTCCGAAACTTTCAAAATTTCGATCCAAAATATTATATGTTTGTTAAGATGCACGGGGCGTTTCTTGTGAGCGATGTTGATTTCATTCAGAGTAATTTGTTCAACCTGTGGTATAATACGCGAGCGGGAGTAATATGATGACGTAAAAAAAGTCAAGTGTGGCGAACAGTCGCTCGCTTACTTTACCACAGGCTGAACAAATTAGTGTGAATGAAATCAACATCGCTCACAAGAATCGCCCCGTGCATCTAAACAAACAGATAATATTTTGGATCGGCAAAATTGGCGTTTTAAATCGAAATTGTTTGAAAATGTCCGACTCCCGTATGAATAGCAAATACAAGTACGGGTGCCGTACGAATAGCCACTGCGAAAAAAACTGGACCGTTTTTCGCGCTCTCATCTTATCGAAAATCATTTAAACGGTTTAGTGTGTCTATACGTGGATGAAAGCAAAAAATAAACGAAGGGGAGAGAAGTAGAAAAACAGTAGTTTATCGAATCTTTGTACATTGTGTAGTTTGCCTAACGGCGTTTGTGAGCAGCGCGCGAGACCCACAGGCAATTTCGCGATCCGCGCGCGAGGCACGACACCCAAAGAAAACGTGAATAGCCCAATTTCGATATATTAAAATTCAAGTTGAAACAAAAGACATCACTACGATTCTTGGGGAATAATATAAGGATTTATATGGTTTATTCCCCAAGAATCGTAGTGATGTCTTTTGTTTCAACTTGAATTTTAATATATCGAAATTGGGCTATTCGAGGAATAGATATAAAATAAATAAATCTAATGATGAGCATCATTAAGCGTGAAGTTCAACACATTCACAATCTTAGCTTAGCAAATAAAAAAACATCACCACTGAATGGGGAAACTACATGGTCACAAAAAGGCACTGATTCTCATTACCGTCCACTAACATATCCTTGTTGGTGTTCAATGGAACTTGAGTTTTGCATACTAGTTCAGGCTGTTCTGCACTAGGTGGCTCCGTTTCTTCGAAGCACACGTTTAATGGAGGCTGTTCTGCACTGGATGGTTCGATATCCTCGCAGTATTCGCTGGGGATGAAAATGAAAGATTTATTTAACACAAGGTCCGTCATGACCCAAGGTTACCCCTAAAATTTTAATCATGTTTTATCAGTTTACAAACCTCAATCTTGATGCCTTGATTTCATCGGCCATTTCCATCCTAAATCTAGGCGTGTCATTCTATAACATAACATAACATAACATTTCAAGAATATTTACATCAGGAACTGAACTTGAAGTTGGTCTTAAAAGTTATGATCTTTATTGAATGGTTTAGTTCTGTATTTTTCTGCATGAAAATTATCATCAGTGTACTAAATTCCAGTATATATACAGCTATGGACATAGGCATAGATTTGCATCCTTGCATACTGTGACGGAAAGATATCTAGTGAGACCAATAAAGTTACATTTTTTTCAATTATGCATTTATTAGAAAATAGTCAACTTGAGATGTTCTTACCTGACTGAAGGATAAAGGTGTACCCGAAATAACGTGGTCAACAAACTGAAGGATAAATGACATATTGAAAATAAATGAGAAATTTTCGGTGTGTGGCCGATCTGAACAGATATTAAAATACTAAAAAATAAAGCAGCATAAGGTTTAAATATCTCACCTTTAAAGAAAAAATACCACAATCGAAGGCATTCAACTGCGTTGGAATTTCTTGTGCGATTTCCTGTCTCCATTCACTAGGAACCCATGTATTTCCAGACATTTTGCAAATGCTTTCGATTAAATGCCTATATTTTTAAAACAGTGAAATATACATTAACAAGAGCAAATTTTATCACAGAGAGGTATTTCAAAACACTTTAGACAGATTATGGTATCGATACCCGCTGTGATCTCATCCTGGTCCTTACATTGTGCTTACATTATCCTGGTGACTCATTATGGTGCTTACCTTATAGTGGAAAAATGTCTTTTTTCTACAGTCCCTTCAGTTCGGTGTCTGGCTATAGAATCGTAGAGACACATCGTCTTTTTGTTAACGTTCACTATCTAAAGAAAGACACAGTGACATCCTCATAAATCAGATTGTATTTTCTCAACTGATATATAGTAAACTGAAAACTGAAAAACTTGCTGAAATTGTTCAGTATATTTACCATGACTTTCCAATGCTTGTTTTGGTTGATAGGAATGACCCATATCTCCTTTTCCAATAACTTTACCTACAATTATTAACATATAAAAGAATCTTGCTAATCGAGCACATCGAAAAGGTTTCCCATAATAATGATGGTAACGGTGGAGTAAGCGCTAGCGGTCGGGCTCAGAAGCATTAAAACTGAAGAACAACAACGCATTCATTGGATACAAAGAAGGAGACAAGACCAAATTGTTGTGTATATGATTCCTGCCTTCTTATAGATACTACATAGTACTTTTGATTGTGGGTACTTGAGGTAATGGTAAACGAAGCATATAAAACCAAAACAATCTTGTTTTGTTTACGTTTGTACACTAAATGAAAACTCTTACTGTAAGAAAAATAAATTAATTAGCCAAAGCCAGGCAATAGTTCAAATAAATACAAAATTACCTTGCATAAAGATTGAAGTACTCTTTCCGGCGAACTTGTGTGGAATTTTTCCCATCGTGGGAAAAAGAAAGAGTTGAAGATGTGAACGGATTGTCCCTAAAAAGAAAGCCGGGAAATAAAAGTATGTCTGTTTGATCTTTCTTTCTGCTACGAGACAAATATCCAAGTCGGAAGACAGCGTTTGTGATAAAATGCAGGTAGATTTATAGTTATAGACAAAATTTTATAGAACAACACAAACCCGCTTGATAACATCCTATACATCGATATCCATCCTTTGTATTAAAACATAACTGTTTTGTACACTTTTTGAGACACTGTAACAAGCTGACGTCCGATGCGCCATGAGACGCATGTGTCGTATAAGTCATTCATTTCATAATTACTTGCAATGCTTACCATCTTGTCAAACTTTCTGGCGAGAATGGCGTTGTATGTGTTGATCCCCTAAAAAGTAAGGATCAATATCATTAAAACTCCGGCCTTGGTCTGTGGCTCTTGTTTGTTAATTGCAAGTGCCTGTATGTTCTTGTAAAGCTAGTTCTTTGCTCAAAAATTAAAGAACCGAAAGAAACAAGTGTGAGCACTATCAAAATAAATATCAACTATATTTAAACCAAAGAGAGCAATCCTTCATTAGGCTAGCGTCGTTCTTTGCTACAGGTAACTCATACTCAAATGATGCTCGTGCTCACCTCGTCATTTAACCAGCATTCCTCGTACTGTAAGCCCGTCTTCCACTGCTGAAAACGACGCAGAGACTCCGTAGAAATATTTTCCATGTGCTTTGGCACGAATGTTGATATCTCTGGACCTTTTATGTTTGCTTGGGAGGTCGTGTCATCATGTTCGTGGTGTTTGTTATCTTTGATTTCTAATAGAGATCAGTAGGAGAGGGTTTGATTAAAATATTGATCGATAGAACTAACTCATTTTTATATCAGTATTTTAAGCAAGTCACTTCCACGTATAAGTACGAGAATGTAAAGTTCATGTTAGTTACTGATAGTTAAATTTGATCGTGTAATTTTCCCCAAGCGTAAATCAAGACAACGGTTTGAAAATGTTTCCCCTTGGGTGTTCTTACGCATATGAAGTACTTTTTTAGTACCTTTATTATCTTTGCATGGATTCTGTGAAGACGATTCCGCAGCGGACGATTTCTCATAAAAGAGAATATACGAATCTTTGCTGTTTTGTAGTACTTCGTCAATTTCCACAGCTTCAATCTGAAAAATGCAATATCGATCATAGAACAAAGTTATATTCTATAAAAAGGTTTTTTTTTTTTCAATGTTAATTTCAGCGAAGTGAGTTGTTGTCCTTGTGAGATGCTGCAGCAAGGTTTAAATTTCCTTGCGAACATTAACCCCTTCCCTCTCCTTTACCAACATTAAACATAAAAATATCGTTAATGTCCATGATATGGTTTGGGCGTGCAGCAAATGTAGAAGGGGTAAAAGTACACTTTGTGATGTTTTATACTGTCGTACTCTTTCTAAAAAAATTGTTTAATATTTTTGGCTCTATCTGTTCATTACGTGTTTGATGATTCCAACCCATAGAATTACAGAAAACAATTCTAAAACTGTATGTATTAAAACTACAGACTAACATTTTGATCATCTACAAGGAACCAGCCGTCTCTTTTGACGTATGCCACGTAATGACCACTTGTCGCCAAATTTCCTTTGTGACAAACTACACCAAATAGGTCGAAACACACCTTCCATAAAGGAAAAAATGACAGGTGTAAGTATAAGCATCCGACATAATGGTTATTTATGTATACCAATGGATAAACAAAGCAGCCCAGAAACTCTCCTTCGGACATTAATCCGTAGTTATGTGTAATTTGTACATTACCTGAAGAGATTTGTTTGTTATTCTCTGTTGAATTGTGATAGCCCTCGCGTCTTTCGTTGGCATTCCATTACGGTATCTAAAAGGGGAATATGTTGGAAAACGAAAGGAACTGATTTTATCAGTTTTGCTTTTCAATTTACAATGACTAAGTTAAGAACAGGATTATATAACAATTGACACTATTTGTGTTATGTTCTTGTGCCCTTTACAGCTTTTTACAGCTTTTTTTCAGTGACTGAAGTATTTCTCTTTGTTCGATACGACGATTAACACTTCTCTTTTGTATCCTCCAGGTTTTACACGGTTTTCGCCATTGTAAACTGCTTACTGGGGATTGTATCATGCACTGGGGATTATGCACCTGTGTGCGCTTGTCAATTCTTTAATAAGAGTTACTTTTCATTGTATCGTCAGTACACACCTCATTAAGTGAACAACCAAAATTTCTGGTGCTTTTGTTAGCCTCTTTTTTTTGTTTCGCTGGGACATCTTGCTGGCATCTTTGGGCAGCAAAAGGAGACAACCATGCAAAACAAAAAGAGCGATACTCATAAGCAAAAACATTACAATGCAAAACATATTGTAATGTTCCAAAACATTACCTGCTGCATTTGTAGCTGTGCGCCCCGCTTAAAATTTCATCTTTAAAGAACGTTGCCAGTGAAGCTACCACATGTTCCTGTAAAAACAAAACCATGTCGCAAAAGTTACATCAAGTCACAACTTAATCAGTTAAGCGGGCGATAAACTAAACAATCTTAAAAGAATTACCTTAATCTCTAATGATAAATCGACCATGTTATCCAGGCGTCCAGAAACACCACCACAGTTTAGACACTCCACTGCATACAAAGAAAATGCGGATTAGTTAGTTCCCGCTTCAAAATTATGAAATTTTTTAAAACAATATACTTATATAAATCTTTGGTTGCTGGAATTAATATAATGTACCGAACTCACCTTCAGAGGTTATATTTCCGGTAAACAAAGACGTAATTGCTTCAGTTCTGAAAAAAAGGAGCAGATGATTATACTGAAATCTCAATCAGGAATTGTGTCAACCCTTTGTCTACTTTTAAAAAGACATCATCTACTATAAGACGAACACTTACCCCCTGGCCATGTCAATGTTGTTCAAAATTCCTAGCAATAACTCATGGGCGTCTTCTTGACGGCCGGCAGAAAGAGTGTTGGACAAACCTGTATGGTAACATTACATGTTGATTAAAATACGATTGCACATAACATCATAAAATTCAAAGATCCTAAATATGCATCCTACAAAACTGTTTCTAACAAGGTGTGCGGATACCTGTTTCGTAAAATGTGGCTTCGCAGCTTATTAACTCTGTGAGCCTGAGCATAGCTATGAAGTCGCCATGTTTTCCGCCACAGTTAACTCACTGACACGTTAATGGCTTTTGTTTTCTCTATCATTCCCTAGAATTTCTGTTATTTTTTTTATTTGATAAAAATGGTACATATTGTATGGTATACATTGTATTGTATTGTGTACTGAATCACAATTCAACTTTTTTTTCAGTAAAAAAAAAGGAAATCTGAACAAAATTTGTGCTCATGGAATCCGAAAAAATATTCTTGATACCAAGATGGCCGCTCGATCCGTTTCTTACTAAAAATGTGTAATACCTGTTTCCTTATAACCCTTCACCGAAATGCCGTTGCGCTTCAAACTTGGTCAAAACACTTTGAAAAGGACACACGAGAACTTCAGTGTTACATTACACGTAACGCGTGACCAAAAGTATAGAAATCGTCACGGAAAGGTCCGCGTTCGCGCTAAGGGTCAGAGACGAGAGAAAAAAAATCGCTGTAAAAGATAACAGGCCCTGCACGCTCGTCGCAAAAAACAATATAGTCCGGCTTTAGAATAGTGCTGCCTCAAGTACGTACCCGAGAAATGCTTTCCTTTCTGTAATAGATCCAAATTTAAAATTTCTCTGTTGTAGCTGTCATACTAACATTTGATATTTACACTTTCCAGACCCGTCGTAATGCAGGATCAGTAGTAGTCGCTGAATGCTCCAATCACTGAGTAAATTTCTCAGCCCGTGATTTTGATTTTGATTTCTCTATCACCGTGACAGAAAAAAGTCTAATTAATTTAATACGATTCAAAGAGCAATGGTTTTCGGTTCCTCAGAGTTTATTTTGCGGTTAAATTGTGTTTGGAGCTAGGGAGTACTTTCGCTGATAGGCGTATGGTGTTATTGAATGTAGCATGAAACATTTGTTTTGATATTCATACGAATGCAACTGTGGTTACTATTCAACACAGCATTTCTGAGAACTGGCTATAGGTCAGCAGTACGATTTCAACCTCACTTCAGTCCTTTAATTCTAAAAGTCGGATGTCGACTGGCATGGCTGGCTCCTTCAGCCGTCCACCGTTACGACACCAAAACTGCGAGTAAACTCGCAAAATACAGAGATACTGATAGGCTGTAGCGGAACAGTTAGATTTTCTCAAAGTCCCTTCCAATACTCGTTTTCCATATAGTCAGGTTCTTCGTTGGAAGGGACTTTTCCCACTTGCAGCGCGGGAAATTTACCGGTGGATTTTTCCACGGCAGTGACGTAAGAAGCATATTGGCCAATGAACAAGCAATTTCTGAACTACGTCATAAACTCGCGCGTGGTCAAAGCGCTGAAAATTTTACTCAGATATGAAATCAAATTTTAACTCAAAATTATGGTTGCCGCGCTCGTAATGTACTTCGTTTTCAAAATCGTATTTTTGTATTATCGGAGTTATAACACACATTTCAAGTATTTAAAATGGCATGAAAAAGTTACAAAGAATACTCAGTTGCCGGCATGTTGGGAAAGAAGAGCTTAAAGCGATGAAATCTTCCTTCGAGGAACTTCATGTTTAAATCAAAGTAGGGCGATATTTCTGCCTTCGGACGCCAGAGCCGAAGAAGCGGAGTTTTAAAGGATTTTGGAGTGAGTGGGTGAATAACGTAGACAATTTGGCTGCTGTGCCAGAGGCATGGGAGTGGCCTTTGAATGCTATTCTGATCGCAGAGAAAATAAAGCCATATACGGTTGATCAATCTGTCCCTGAACACCTGCAAGCTCTACAGGACAAGGAATGTCGGCCAACAAAACAGGCAAGTTGAAATTGTCTGAGTTGGTGAATTTTCTGTTATAAGTCTACTTTCTAAGGGTTCACATGTTACGACTTGGCAGCTCTTTAAGTTAAACATTCTCTCATATCTGAGTTCGTCAGTTCTTTAAGGTTACAGTGTACCTTAAGGGGTGGCTCCAGTTTAACGGGTGTAGCGCCTCTCGGTTACATCACAGATACCCAAAACCCTATATCAAATTAAAGCTTATGGAACTGGGTATTCAAATATTTCATTGCTTTTTCAAGAAAATAAATTCCTAAGTTTTCCGCGTAGTCTAAACTTGAAGGCACAGATCGTCTTTCTACAGTTCCAACTCAATGCGATTTTTTCATTTTGGAAGTTTTTTTTTTTTTTCTCACGGTCAGCATCTCAAAGGTTAAAAAAAACGTGTCAGTGTTTTCCTTAATTCGATTGCGTTCAAAAGTTACGGAACATTTTGAAAACTGCAAGAAAAACATGCGGAGTGAACGCACGGAAATGGCTGTCAAGGAAAGAGTTTTAAGAATTATCGAATTCCCCGACACGTCTCTGTTGATTACATACCTTTCTAGCATCTGGCCAAATTTTACCGAAATCGGCCAAATCGTTGTTGAGTTGTAACTCTTGAAAGTGTCTCCTTGAAGCGAAAATTAAAGTTCGAGAAAAGAGCGCTCAAAAAAAAATTATCGCTACAGAAACAAGTACCGCCCCTAACGCCTTTACGGGAAATTAGGCAATTGTTTCGCAAGGCCCTTTTTCTTCCGGTTACCTGCTGTGATGATTTTCTCGCAATTTTGCACGTACTCCCGTTACAGAGTAATCAATTCCTTCGCCATTTTGTTGGATATTTGCGGTTTTTATTTTCCGTCGATATTGCATTTTGTATACATAATCATCGTGAAAAAAACTAAACGAGGAAAGACCTCATCAAGCAAAGCTGTTGGGCCCAAGCCGAAGCGACAAAGGCGGGCTACAAATCATCAGCAGAAAGAGCGGCGGAAACACCAGTACCGGTGAACCATCGTGACCGCATGATTACCTTATGCTGTCAATCAAAGTGGAGTTTAACTTCCGGTGGAAATCGCTTACATCCCAATTTCTCGGCAAATATTCACTCTTTTGAAAGATCTTGCTGCAAAGTTTATTTCCAACTTAAAAAACGAAAATCGATTTTTTTCCCTCTGAACGTACACGGTAACCTCAATTAACCTTTTCTGATTAAACTGTATCCTTTTTCAGATTTACACTGGAAGGTATGTTGCCCCCAGCAACAGAGAAAATCCTGTTGAACGTGTTGACTCTTTCTACGAAGGGCTTCAAATTGAAACATATGCAGCAGTTTTCTTATCAAACTGTGAAGAGGAGCCAGTGATTGGTGTTTTAAAAGAGATCAGTGAGGATCATTTCAAAATCCATTACTGGAAAGGCACATACAGAGGAAAGTGGTCACCTTTAAGCCTTCCAAGAACAAGGGAACCTTGGACAGAAGTTCTTCTTCAAAGGAGTGTATTATTCTCCACTCCTTTGAACTTACTGAAACAAAGAAGCTGCAGGTGACTACAAGAAGGCACTTAATGGAAAAGTATTCCTCACTGAGGAATAGTACAAATAATTCATAATCACCAGGATGCACACTGTTAAAACCTTCACTCCCAGTGCCCATGTAAATATAGGAGAAAAAAAATCTAATTCATTTTTTGTGAAATACTAAACACTATAAAGCACCATGTGAAAGTTCTACTGAAGAGGCTTTATCTGAATGGTTAAACCAAGTATTTTCTTCGAGACTGAACAGTTACAAAGAAATAACTGAGAAGATTTTGAATGATCTTATCATGGGACACTCATCCAATTCTGTGTTGATAACACCTGGCTGTATTCTCAAACCGCATTGGGCTTTGAAAACACCTAACTATCTGGTTGTTAAGTATTGCGTTTGCTTATCTTTTTCACTTCAACCATGCATTAGTAAAAAGTAGATATATAATATTTTGAAGGTTTTTTGGTTTCAACTAACAACTGTATGCATGGTGCAATAGCGGTTAGATTAATTTTATGGAGTATTCAATATTTAGCCGCAGCTACGGTTATGATGCCATGTTTTCGAGAATTGTCGCCGCTGCACTAGTTATTGACAAACCCCGTGTGATTTTGATGCCAGGGAATCAAGTCATTAAATCTTGAACGATTTTTTTAGTTATTTTCAGCTGTAGCCATCGTATCACGTGCGCGAGGGTGGCTACCCGTGATTTTCACCATGCGCTGGCGACGCAACCATGCATTTAGAAAAAAAAATCGCATCACCATTTCCAGTAAACTGAAGTCTATTTGAACTATTGGGCAATGTCTTTTACGAATACTGCTTATTTAGTCTAGTTTCTGGCGATGTCAGCAGCTGAATTCAGTCATTTTTAGGCCTGTTTTAGCCACTGAACTTGGTTTCTGCATCGGAGGAAAATAGTCGCTGCTGATGTAGTCCAGTTTCTGTAGATTTTCACGGATTTTACCGCGTGCAGAATTTCTGCATCCGTAGCTGAATTAAGTAATTTTCACGGATTTTACCGCGTGCAGAATTTCTGCATGGTAGCTGAATTCAGTACATTTTAGGCCTATTTTAACGACTGAACATGATGCAGAATTTCTGCATCGGGGAAAATAGTCGCTGCTGATGTAGTCCAGTTTCTGTAGATTTTTACGGATTTTACCGCGTGCAGAATTTCTGCATGGTAGCTGAATTCAGTACATTTTAGGCCTATTTTAACGACTGAACATGATGCAGAATTTCTGCATCGGGGGAAAATAGTCGCTGCTGATGTAGTCCAGTTTCTGTAGATTTTTACGGATTTTACCGCGTGCAGAATTTCTGCATGGTAGCTGAATTCAGTACATTTTAGGCCTATTTTAACGACTGAACATGATGCGGAATTTCTGCATCGGGAGAAAATAGTCGCTGCTGATGTAGTCCAGTTTCTGTAGATTTTCACGGATTTTTTACCGCGTGCAGAATTTCTGCATGGTAGCTGAATTCAGTACATTTTAGGCCTATTTTAACCACTGCACAGGATACAGAATTTCTGCATCGGGGGAAAATAGTCGCTGCCGATGTAGTTCAGTTTTAGCAGATTTTCATTCTGCATGCGGTGAGATCAAGTTTTCTTAGGGTCAGCATATTCAGAAGTTTTACTGGCATGTTTAACTGACTGCCAAATTGTGACGGTCAAATAAAGGCTTTCTTTACTGAACCGGTTTCGTTGTTGTTAGGAATGATAAGATTTTCAATGAACAGCGTATAGGCTCCGAGGAATATTCACTTTCTCAACGGAAAATACTGGTTTTGGAAAAACCCATTTTAGTTTGGAACGCGTTGGGACATCACGGTAAATGAAATAAGACTTTTCGATGGGAATTTCTGTTGATATAAATTTGTGATTGACTTTTTCTTTCTTTTTTTTTTCATTAATTTTTGAGAAATGTTTATAAAACGTGCTAAATTTCATGAATTTTGTTTTTGCGAAGACAGTTCCTTGATGCACCAACGGTACACGTTTTGCTTTTAGGATAAACTAACGGATATTTGAATAAAACAGGATTTTGCTGTCTTTTCTTGTGTTTGCTCATTCATTGGATAGGTTGAACAGCGATTTTTATGTAAAAAAGATAAGACTTGCGCGCATTTTACAGTTCTAGGCTTCACGCGCGTTGCCCTAGCAAAGGTAAGCAAAGATGTCCGGCAAGTTTTTGAAATTTCGATTTCCAAATCAGTTTCTCGGGTGCCACCATTGATGAAAGTGCTGTTTTGTGGCCTGAAATGATCAGATGTGAAATCATTGACAAACATGAATTTTTTATACGATAGCTCTTGAGTACGGCTTGTGTTGTCCATAGATAAAAAGACGCTTTGAAAGGAGAACTGAAAACTGTGGTATAGATAGGGATTCAAAAATTTATCGGCAAAGACGCGTTTCTCGGGGAATTTTTTGTGTTTTGAAAGCACCGTTATCATCGACTGGTTGTGATGTGGTCTCCTGTGTGGTCCTATATTAAAGACCCAAACGCTATATTAAGTTAGAACAGTGTGTGTCATTAAACTCATTGAACAATCCTGCTCCTCCATGGGAAAGCTTATATTCTCGAGGCACGTATTTTCCCGCTTATAGAACTATTCGGATTCAAGTTATCGTTCAATCGGGTGATTTTTTTTTATGTATTCTTTTTATTGTAATAAGTTGCTGTTTGTCGTCGCTTTTCAGCCAAGAAAACTTTCACGGCGTTGAAACTTTCCCGTTACTGACAACAAGCTTAATACTGCTGTCTTGTCACAATCTCAACGCCTCGAACAGGCGAAATTTCCCCATACGTTTGTATGTCTTCGGGTTAAAATTCTAGTGGACAACATATCCGTTGCCAAGGCCTCGAAATCCAAGACAAAGTGGACTATTGAAAACAAACAACCAGTCGTCTCTTTCTTTCTCTCTTTATGCGCTTCAATTTGTTTTCTTGTTTACTTGCTTCATTCTACCTTTTATTTTGTCACAAATAACTATGATTTCACTTACAATTAACTTGATTCTTGAACATGATTCCTCTTGCTTCTCCAGTAAGACCAGATAGTACCATGCTGGCGATCTCGCATAAAGCGCAAAATGGTAAATTGTCATCAATCCCAGAACCTATATTAGGATGACAAGAGAATATTATCTCACAATATCTATATTAAGGATGCCAAGAAAAATTGCTGGTGAATGAAGAATGACGGTGTTCACAGCTGCAGAACATTAACGTTAACTTACTTGAGCATTGTTGTACTTGATGGTGCTCCAAAGCCAAAGACACAAAGTCCTTGTTGGATAACAAACACTGGAGAACAGAGTTAATATAGCATGTATTGCCCTCGTTGGGTATACCAAATGGTGTACTCAGGTCCAAACGCAACATTTTACTATCCTAGAGCTTTCTATAAATATAAACCCGTATAAAAGCTTTTAAGATTTTTTTTCTCAAAAGAGAACTAAAACGGAGCAACGTGTTTAGTCTGATTCCCCGCGTTGACGCAGTTCCGGCCGGATACCCAACTGATTGACAGGCAGTTATTTATAAATTAAGCTGCCATCAATCACTTGAAAAGAAAATCATATACGCACCAGTTTCAAGAGTAATGTGACAAACTTTATATCAGTATAAAGCGTAATAACTTTGGTCTTTGCAAAAATAAAATTTCAGGGACGTTCTTTACGAATGGCTAGGAGCCCATAAGCCGACAAACGATCCAAAATATAGTATCGAATGGCACTGCAATAGCGCGAAATTTGAAGCGGGCCATCTTCGCATTTAACTTGGGCTTTTTTCAATTCTACCTACATAAAACCGCAAGAAAATACAAGTGTCGTTTGCCATAAGTTATTTCGCTTGCAAAGGATAAACTGATTTAGAATTGCTCAGTCGCTTCATACTAGTAAAATTTCCATTCGATAGCGAACTGATTTTTTGCGAATGCAAGTGCGAATGTGACAAAACAATAGCGCGGAAACAGACCAATTTCAGTAGCTTACTCAAAGCGGTCCAATTAATCTATAACACCTGAGCCACGAAAAAAAAAAAAAAAAACACTTTGTGAAATTTCTCAGGGCACTGAGTCATGCATGAGAAGTCGATGGAAATTTGATGGGTTTCCAATTTAAAATGGGAATCGCGCTGCGCACAATTACTTAAAATAGATCTGTGATGTCATTTGTACACAGCGCTGGCGTCAAGTTAGAAAAATATGTCTGCCTCTCAGCAAGAATTTAAATGCATCTTCTGTCATCGGTTATCCGATGAAACTACTTGCTCGTCGTGCGGCAGTGAGTGCAGGAAAAGGAAAAATGCTCAATTGTTGCAAAATGCCCTCAGATGGTCCTCCGCTTGTAAAAAGACCAAATTCAACGTACCAAAACAACTTCAAAGCCTGGTTAAAAAGTGCCCTCAATGGGAAGAAAGAATTGTTGCTCTCGTTAAATCTAGCGAAAATTACCGGCACTTTACTTATAAAGAAATGGAGCAAGAAATTACTGGAAGAGAAATTCTGCGATGTACTTGGAAGATGCTAGAAGGCAAGGCAAATAATCTTGTGAACGGCATTCAAAGCCGCTCAGATAAACTGGACAAATCAACATCATGCCCTCTGTCGGAGCAAACTAACTTTGACAGCTCCATCGAGAACAAGGTAGCTGACTTCAAAAGGCTTGTAGACATATTCCTCTTTGGAGGGGAAGTATACCTCCGCTCACGCTCCACCAAATGCACCACAAAAGGCCTTTTGGAATGGAAAGATAAGGCCAGCAAGATGCGAGATGTATCTCTTCACGAGGAACTGGTTGGCTACTTCAATGATGCCACCGCATTTAAAACATTTCTGGCCTACGAATTGCCAGAAATTACGGAAGCTGTGAGAATGAAGGCGACCATAAAAAGAGAATACAATTTGGACTTGCAGGCCAAAGGAGTCGCTGGCGCAAGAACGAGGGCAAATGCGAAAAGGAAACGTGACGAAAGAATGTTGGCGATGGGCGAAGGAAAACCGCATTTGTTCCTCTGGTAAAGACATTTCTTCGCGTACGAGGAGAAATCGATAAGGTAAAAATTGTTAATTTAGCTTTTATTAAACTCGATGACCCAATAGGTTAATTATCGAATCCACCGAAAAATTCGATTTTTTTTTCTAGCGCGAATTTACCCAACAGCTAAAAAAATAGCTTAGTAACCGCACATATTTCTTCACCATGTGCTTTTATTTAGCCTGGTTACTGAGGTCAACAAAGATGGCGGTTTGGTTTATACTGACTCTTTCGTTCAGTTTCTTCAGCTGTTTCGTTTGCTTTGGGCATTTGTTATATTCGTACGGTTTTAAAGGGAACAGAATTTTTGGGACCATGTTCCAACCATTTTGCTACTGGTTTTAAGACGCATCCCAAGTTTAATAGATCGGAAAGTTTAATTCAAGTTTAATTACATGTATTATGCCAGATTATGCACATGGATATATTGTCATTTGATTATCACTCATGTGTGCGCCTTTCTGTTTAAGAAACAAAATCACAGTATTGATGGAAAATCCGAAGGTGAAGGTGAGGGTGAAGGTGATGATTATGGTATAAAGGAAGATACATGTAATGAAGTTGGCAAGGAAATCATTAGCGATGATGACATGCTGGTAAGTGAAATGGCTAACGCTTGTTTGTGAACTTACACTGTACATCTATTATTATTTTGATACAATAAACTAGTTAGTGTTACTCGAAACTAACGCCAGTAAGCTGTTTATTTTTGTCTGCCAGTGGATTTTTGTAAGTCAGAAAAATTCAATCCAAGATAGATAGTTTTGCATTTATGTTATAGTAGGATATATAATTGCTACATATATTTTTTTATATAGTAACATATCATTTGCTTCAAGGAATTATTATGCAGTGTATAAAAATGTAGAGTTATTTTCATTCCTAAGTTCAAGAAAATTTCTGTCCAAATTGTTAGGTTGCTACCTAGCAAAAACAAAAAACCGCACCACAGTAATATAGAAGAACTGCTCAGAGCCATTCATAACATTGGTTGATTAGCTGTTGCAGTTTGCAGTTCTTATTCAATCTGCATGTATGTCATACTGGTGTAGTCCATGGCCTACCACTGGTTAATTTTCTACAGTAAAAAGAAATCAAAAAATCCTATATTTGTGAAAAGTTTATTATGCACATGGCTATACAGGGTACTTCCATTAATTTTGATTTTCTCTCACGAGTGTGACTTTTTGTTTAAGGAAAAGAGTCATGAACAAGACGAAGAAGAAGAAAAAGTAGAAGAAAAAGATGAACAAGACGAAGAAGAAGAAAAAGTAGAAGAAGAAGAATATGAACAAGACGAAGAAGAAGAAAAAGTAGAAGAAGAAGATGAACAAAAAGAAGAAGAAGAAAAAGTAGAAGATGAAGATGAAGAAAAAGAAGAAGAAGAGGAAGAAGAACCATGGGGTGAATGGTGCTAATTGGCATGTGCTCAACATGCATCCATATAAGGAAGTGTTCATTATTTATTGCGAGGGGGGCTGGCAAATGGGGAAACTTAATGTTTCGAACTTTTTGTACCCCCCGATGATCAAGGCTAACTTTTCTTGCCTCCCCCAGCGAGAAAGTAAAAACTTTTTTGACTCCCTCCCCCCACCTATTGTAATGATGCATTTATTATAAAACCATACTCACATCCTCCACTTTAATAGCGTTTTACCCAGCTGCTTTTGTATTTTTAATAAGTCGGACATCCACACAGCTGTTACTTTCAGCCAATAAAAGATCAACTGTGACAAAGGCTTTCTATAGCATTCACATTATCATGGTCAAAATTGTATGCCCAGTCATCAGTAGCCTCGAGTATTAATGAAGTAACTGTAGAGTGAGGAGATTGAAAGCCCGACTGGTGGCTAGAGAGGAAATTATAATCCATGAGAAAGCCAAAGACCTAATCGTAAATAATTCTTTCGAACCTTTGCCAACACTGGGATCTAATAGAGATGGGGCGTTTAATAAGTCAGCCTGATCCCCTTGTTTGAATATCATCAGCATCACTTTTGAACACTTCCATTCTTAGGGGGAAAGTGCAATTTGTGAATTTAATTACACACTTGTAAGTTGTTTTAATAAGTATATTTTGTACATAATCTTGACACAGAGATCAATAATATCAGGCGTGGATATAGGATAAAAGATGAGCGATTGACTACAAAACTTGCGCCCAAGGCGCAAGCTCTAAGGGGTCTGGGGGCATGCTCCCCGGGAAAGCCCCAATTCTTACTTCCTAAAGTCCCCTTTCCTGGGTTTTTTCGAAAACCGATTTTACAGTTCACTTTTATTTAAAAATTATGTTTTTAGGAAAATTCTGACCGATTTCCATAAAATGGTGGAAACCGGTATACATCCACGCCTGAATATTAGGGTAGCATTGTTGTATATTAATTAATACTGTGTTGCATGAAGGATATAAACCATCAAGCTTTTTAGCCCCCCTCTTCCTCAGAGTAAAACCTTTCTCCCCCCCCTATATAAAGGGGTTAAACCTCGCTTGCCCACCCCTCCCATTTGCCAGCCCCCCCCCCATAAATAATGAACACTCCCTAACATTGCATGAAAAACATTAGATCATTTTTTCATCAGTCATTTTGAGTTTTGTTTTATTAGATTTCTTCAGCAATCATACAGATGTAAATTACTAAAAAGGTACTTGAAGCTCCCATAACACATGCCATGATTTGGTGCAGAATATCCATGCTTGAATGCAACTGGTGGTATTTGTTTTGATCGCTTTCAAATAAAATAAATATGATACTGCCAAAAGTATTTCAGAGTTCAAATAAATACACAGTTAATACACAGATAAATAAATTATATCAATTTGTTTCATTGCATCAATGATAGTGAACCATATTTTTACTCGAAAGACCACTGCAACTGTTACAGATTTTTGGGACTCTTTGATATGAGGCTCATTTAAAGGTAGGGCGAAATTGAGGATGGCACTTATTTAAAACTGAACAAATGAAGATGCATAAATAAATAAATAAATGCATTTCAAACGGAGAAACTTCTGTAGTTTTATTCAAATTTGTTCAAAATATCAACTTTTAAATTCATAGTTATCAGTAACACTTTTTAGTGTTATTGAGTACTTTCTTCTATTGCAGCTTGATTCTGTGAGAGTGATGCAAATTTACAAATAAGCAGTTAACTGATATGGATTGAAACTTGCTCAACTTGTTGTGCATTTAGCCTTTAGATCGTTTGTGCGAGGCTCTTACTTGTACATGTAGAACATTTTGCAGTTTTGTTCACATAAATAAAGTTATTTTTATTATAATTTGAGTGACAAGACGTCAATCAAAATTACCAGTGTCTTTGTACATATATGTCATGCTGTAC